TATAAAAAGAGCATCATATGCTGGCAAACAGTGTGAGATGACAGGTCAGTTATCTCATTGGGTTGATGCAATCCTGGAATTTCCTGAACTGAAATAAAATGTAGAACCAGAGGAGAAGGAGAGGCCTTGGGCTGTTTGGCCTTTAGCTAATTCTGCCCCACCCCACCTCCACCGGTTTGGTTTTTTTTTTTGTTTTTTTGTTTTTTTTTTTAGCATTTGTTTGTTTCCTTCTTTTCTGACATGTGAGGTGATAATTGCTAACAATTACATTACACCAGACACTCATCTAAAGGTTTTACTCCTTTAACCTTCACAACACTCAAGTGAGACAGGCATCCCATTTTACAGATAAGGCAACTGCTGTGCAAAACTCATATATATTTAATTGCCTTAGGTCACACAGGAGAAAATGTAAGACTCTTGGAGCTCTATATCTGAAGATCTTTGCCTTCAGAGCTCAGGTTGTATCCATTTTCCAGGAAGCCTGACTCTTGGAAAGACCACAGCCACTGCGAGCTATGACAAAGACGACATTGCCACTTTCATAAACTCAGTGCTCTGGTCATCTATTTTTAACTTGAAATTGGAGCTTTTTAAAAATTATATTAGAATTTTATTTTCTACGTTTCTTTCAGGTTGCTTAGTATTTTAAGGTTGTCTTTTGTGTTTTACTGGAAAAGGGTCACCACCTAACATCTCCCCCTACATTTTTAGGATTTAAAGAGTGGGATGTTTATTTATTTGGGGTTTAAGATTATTTTCAGATAAAAGCAAATGATCAAGTCTTAATAGCCTTTTATAGCTCATTATTTTGTTCTGGATTTAATACCAATATTTATATAAATAAGAGATTAGGAAAAATATGCAAGGGGTATGTTGGTTCGATGATTATCCTCAGGTGCCACACAATTCAGAATCCATATGTCCTTCGCTTCTTGCCATTATACAGGAATTGAAGAAACTATAAATGTGTAACAATCCTGGAGGCCATATTAATTCAGCCTTGGATATTTTTCGTGTAACAGCTCCACCTGATAGCTACACCAATCCAAGCTACACATTCCTACTAGCAACTTGCCAGGAAGGCAAGGAGCACAGTCAGTATAGACCGATTGCCCAAATTTACTACCTGGATCCCAGGTGTCCTCCTAGACAGGGATAGAATTAAATATTCAGAGTTAATCCTGGCCTGGGGCTCTTTTACTATTTCAGTTTATTCTTGAAGCAGAGTTCACTCTTGCTCTCACTTGTTCCTGGAGTTACTAGAATGTTTCAAAGGTTAAAGTCAAGGTTCTTTGACCTCACCTGTCAAAGGTCACCTGGCAGGATCACTGTCTTGTGAGGGCCTCTGGTAAGTGATACTTAGAGGTTTCTTTCTTATCTATCAAGACTTACCTCTGTTTAAAAGAAGACTTGTCTTACCTAAGTAATGTAGGATAGACAGAACTCTCCTAGTAGATCTCTTCGATTAGGCTATAAATCCTAACTAAATGGAAAGTATAACTTTTAATCACATATATACAAAGAACCCAACACAACTGATGCTTCGATTACTGCTTGTTTGAACACTAGTTCTTCTCTCTCCCCACCTTGTGACATGTTAAATGTAATCAGTAGACTTATATTTTTAAGATAGAGGAGTACCTATGGAGGGGGATACTGATGGGAAGTGAGCTGATTTGCCTCACAGAACTCTGGAAATGCTCAGGAGTTAGAAGTGCTGAGCCCTTCAGAAGACAGAAGGTGAAGGTGAGGGTGTGTGTGTGTGTGTGTGTGTGTGTGTGTGTGTGTNAAAATCTTTAAAAAACAAACAAACATTAGATAAGATTTGGTGTAAGGAGGAAAAGTTAAAGCATTTAACCAAAATTACTCCTGATACTTATTTGATAATAATATTGCAAGGAAGTAATTTTAGAATTACTAAGAACCAGAGGACTTTTTAGGGTAGCTTAAAATTTCTACTCAAATGAGTAAAGAAAATCCTGGTTATGATGGCTCCAGGACACTGTCACTTTATAAAAACGGAAAAAAATGAGTATTTAAATAAAAACTATATAAAGTATGTATCATTTGTTTTGACTGCACAATGGATCTGCCTTTGGAAAGTTTCCATTATTCTCACTTCATATAATTTTGAAAAAAAGTGCCAATCACAAATTCTTATACCTCTGACCACAGGGATGAGAAGGTGGTCCAGGCTAGGTCAATTAAACTCTCTCCCAGCAGTTTAAGTTTTGGGTGTGAAATCTACCAAAGACCTCAATAAAGAAAGACAGCTCAAGAAAGTACTTAAATACTTCACAAAGTATTTAATTATTCTTAAATAGGCACTTCACAAAGGAGGATATTTAATTATTTAGCGAGCATAGGAAAAGAAGGTGGTCACCATCATTAGTAACAAAAAAAATGCACACAATGAGATAGCACTACTCACCAGAAAGGATAACAATTTTTAAATGACACTACCAAACGTTGGCAAGAATGTGGAGAGACTGGAACTCTAATATTCTACTAGTAGGAATGTAAATTGGCTTAGCTTCTTTGAAAAGCCATTTGGCAATATTTACTAAATCTGAGTACATGCTTACTTTATCACCCAGGAAATCCACTCTCAGAGAATAAAAACATATGGGAACCAAAGACATATGCAAGAACCTTCATTTGTAGCTTTGTTTACAATATCCAAATTGGAAATAATCCAAAGATCTCTCAAGAGTACAAACTCACAGAATGGAGTATCAATCAGAACAAGCTTCTGTTATAGGACACAATAAGGATACATCTCACAGGCGTCACCTTGAGCAAAAGAAGCCAAACACTAAATGACTCCATTTAGATAAAGTTCAAAACTAGGCAAAACAAATCTGAGTGATGAAATCAGGATATAGGATGCCTTTGAGGGGTAATGACTGGGAAGGGGCATGAGGAACACTTCTGGGACACTGATAATGTCCTGTGTCTTGATCTGTGTGCTAGTCACATGAGTGTGTTCACTTTGTAAAAATTTATTGAGCTATACACTCAAGATCTGTGCACTTTATGTTATACTCCCACTTAAATTTTATAAAATAAAATCTCTAGCAGAGGCATGCAGAGATGGAAGGTAGTTGGAGGCGAGTTATCTCATGACTGGCCCCTAAAAGATGGTCAATGAGTTTCCACCTCTGAGGTCCCCAGAGCTCCAGAGCCGTTCTGGCTTCTCTCCTTCTCAAGAACGGGTGGTTCAGTTCTTTTTTTCTTTTTTTTTTTTTTTGATTCTCTGGATCCTTATAATAAATTCCTTTCCCTTTTTTTCTTAACACAAGAAGAGTTGGTTTCTTACTGAGACCCAACTTGAGTTGCCAGGAAAAATGTTAGTATTATTCTTGAGGTAAATAGTAATTTTTTTTAAAAGGCAAATACCTTATAGGTGAAGCAGCCAAAAGAATTCTTATAAATGATAGAAGCCTAATTGAGTGCATTGGAATGTTTGGCTACAAGCGAGAACTTTATAGAACTGGCATTTGTACTGAAAGGGAATGCCATCTAACTTAATAGTAATAAAATCCAGATCTAACACCAGAATTAAAAGAATAATATCCATGTGGGCAGGAGCTGCTAGAGCCGGGAGACTCCTGCCAATGACTACTCGTCAGCACGCGGACTGAAACATGGTTAACTGATCCTTCATATTCCTGAGTGCAAACAGGAAGGCTGGAACGTTTAAACAGGAGTGTTTAAAATTGCTAACTTATAAGGACAATTCTGTTCTAAAGAGGGTGGATTGTGTTACAAGAAAGTCCCTTTTCTCCTGCTGAATACCTGGATAGTTTTCATATGCAAAGTGGGCCTAGAGCTAAAATTGGGATTGAAGAGTTGAATTGTTCTGCAGTTTAGAGGAAAAAAATAAATTGGAGTTACTGGTATACTCAATGAGTGAAGGGGGGCTAAGGAAAGAAAGGAAAAGGATGGCAAGAACCAGGGGAGAAACGGGCAGGGGAAAAATAAATCCCGTGGATCACACACCCTTTGAGTGTTCAACACTCCTCCTAGTTGTTTGCATCTTTACAGTATAAGTCCCATATCTGTCCCCCAAAATATTCAATTAAGGTTACTAAACACATAGATGTTGTGTGTGTGTGTGTGTGTGTGTGTGTGTGTTTCAAACAAAGGAGCTGTGTTTCACATAGAAGTTTGTATGGTGTTTAACAAACAGCATACAGCTCAACATACACTAGAGAATGAGATGACTCATAAACTAAACCATTGCCAGCAGTGGACATATGAATGTGAGAATTCAGAGAAATCTAGAGGAGTGCTTTGTATTTCTACAGATCCTGGAATGACGGGTTTAAGGCACTCTCAGTGTAACCTCATGGGCAAGGAAACTCTAACTAGCACATGGCTGACACAAGACCTTACTAAAGCTAGGCAATAACAAGCGGGAAATAAACACACCATTTAACACCAAACTAGATTGTCTGGTTATGATCTGCTCACCATAATTCCCAGTCCTCTGTCCAGTTGACTCCATATTAGACATATCATTCAGGGGACTATACCTGGACATCTATTGTTTCAGTTAAGAGGCTTTCTACTCCAAATAACAGAAAACCAACTCCAAGCCTTAAGCAATGAAGTTGGCTCACATACCCAGAAATCTACACATATTCAGGGTTCAGCTACAATGTGATCAAGACTCTTGCCCTAATTTCTTGCAGTTCTCTGATCTCCATTCTCCTCCATGTTTAGCTTCTGTTCTCAGGCTGACTTCTCTCAAGGTCACAGAATGGCTGCCAGCAGCAATGAGGCAACAAGCCCCTTCGTTTACTTCAATATGGATGAGTGAGACTGATTTCCATCACTATCACTCAAATAAAAGGAAGCACTCTCCTAAAAGCTTTCAATAACTCAAATTTCATTTGCCAACAGTGGGGCCCATTCCCATTCCTAAACCATTTGCTGGCCTAGGGCAGGGTTACCATGATTACCTTACCTTAATCAGTCTTTACTTTGTGAGCGGAGGATGGAGTGAGCTTTCTCTGAGTCACAAAGGTATGTAGGATAAGGACTGGCTCCTGAACAAACTGGAGATCAATGAGAAAAGAGGTTTGGCAAGTGGATCATGGGTAGGCACCAAGGATATTCACAATGTATATTTTCTACCTTCTTCAAATTCTTGCAATACTCTTTCCTTTAATTTTTTTGTAATCCAACTGCATTGGTCTTCTTTGAGATCTTCAACATGCTTTTTGCACCTTCTCACTCTAAGGTCTTGACTTAAGCTATTCCCTTATCCTGAAATTCTCTTCTCCCAACCCCTTTTCTGGTTAAATACTTATCTGTCAGCATTCCACTTAAAAGTCACTCTTTCGGTAAAGCCTTCCCTCAGCCCCACATTAGCTCACAAGATTCTTCTTCCAACTCTAACTTAAACAACAAAAAAACTAAAACTAACAAAAAAAGAATAGGAACCTCCATACTGTTTTTTGTTTGTTTGTTTGTTTATTTTTAAGATTTTATTGGGGAATCGGGGAAGGGGAACAGACAAGTTGCTGTCCTTTTGTTCTTCAGTCTAGTTGTGGAGGACGTCGCTTCACTGGCCCATGTTGGTATTATCATTGTGCTCTTCCTGGGTGAGGCAGCCGCTCACCGGCCATGGGACGCTGCTCATGGCAGCTCACGAAAGATCATGCCTGCTGCTGGCCAGCCCCACTGCAGCCTACGCTGTTGCAGGCGATTCACAGCAGCCCAGCTCTAAGTAGAGCTGTTGTTCACCATCTTAGCTGTAGAGGGCGCAGCATGACTGGCCCTAATGTGGGATCCGAACAGGGGCCCTGCTGCTCAGAGCTGACATCCCAAGCCAACTCCTAACCGATGCGCCACTCGACTGGCCCTCCATACTGTTTTTATAGTGTCTGTACCAATTTACATTCCTACAATAGTGCCACCAATAGAGCCAACAAGGATTCCCTTTTCTCCACAGCCTTGAAAACACTTATCTCCTGTTTTTTAGATAACAGCAGTTCTAACAGGTGTGACCTGATAGCTCACTGTGGTTTTGATTTGCATTTCCCTGATGATTAGTGATGTCAGCATCTTCTCATGTACCTGTTGATCATTTGTATGTCTACTTTGGGAAAATGTCTATTTAAATCCTTTGCCCATTGGTTTTTAATGGAGTTTGGGGTTTTTTGTTTGTTTGTTTTTTGTTGTTCTTATTTTGTTTTTTGCTATTGAGTTGTATGGGTTCCTTATATATTTTGATATTAACCTCTTATCAGATAAATGGTGTGCAAATACTTTCTCCCATTTCGTAGGTTGCCTTTTTATTCTGCTGATCAATTTTTTGTTGTTGTCATTGTGCAGAAGATTTTTAGTTTAATATACTCCCACTTTTTTTTGCTTTTATTACTTGTGCTTTTGGGATCATATCCAAAAAGTCATTGCCAAAACCAGTGTCAAGGAGATTTTTCCCTATGTTTTCTCCTAGGAGTTTTACAGTTTCAGGTGTTACATAATATTTTTTCGTTTTAATTTATTAGTATTTTTTAAAATTAAAATTTTTTTAAAATTGAGGTTGACATATACTATTATATTAGTCTCAGGTGTATAACATAGTGATTAGACATTTATATGACTAATGAAGTGATCACGCCTATAAGTTTAGTACCATCTGACACCATCCTCAGTTATTGCAATATTAATGACTATATTACATATGCTGTACTTCACATCCCTGTGACTGTTTTTGTAATTTGTACATCTTAATTCCTTCCCTTTTTTCACCCATCCTCCAACTGCCTCCCATCTGGCAACCATCAATTTGTTCTTTGTATCTATGGGTTTGTATGTTTCATTTGTTTATTTTGTTTTTTAGTTTCCACATATAAGTGAAATCATATGGCATGTGTCTTTCTCTGTCTGACTTACATCACTTAGCATAATACCCTTGGGGTCCATCCATGTTGTTCTAACAGCAAGATTTCATTCATTTTTATGGCCAAGTAATATTCCATTGTATACATGTACCACCTCTTCTTTATTCAATCATCTATGGATGAACAGAGGTTTCTTCCATAACTTGGCTATTGTAAATAATGCTGTAATGAACATAGGGGTGTTTATATCTTTTCAAATTAGTGCTTTGGATTTCTTTAGATAAATACACAGAAATGGAAGCACTGGGTCGTATGGGAGTTTTATTTTTAATTCTTTGAGGAACCTCCATACTGTTTTTCCATAGTGGCTGCACCAATTTACAATCCCACCAACAGTGCACAAGTGTTCCCTTTTCTCCACATCTTAGTCAACACTTGTTTTTTTTTATTTATTGATGACAGCCATCCTGACAGGTGTGAAGTGATATCTCATTGTGGTTTTAATTTGCATTTCCCTGATGATTAGTGATGTTGAGCATCTTTTCATATATCTATTGGCCATCTGCATGTCTTTTTTGGTGAAATGTCTATTCAGGTCCTCTGACCATTTTTTAATGAGATTTTTTTGTGTGTGTTTGTGTGTGTCCAGTTGTATGAGTTCCTTATATATTTTGGATATTAAACGTTTATCAGATGTAACATTGGCGAATATTTCCTCCCATTCAGTAGGTTGTCTTTTCATTCTGTTGATGGTTTCCTTTGCAGTACAAAAACTCTTTAGTTTGATGTAATCCAATTTGTTTATTTTTTTCTTTTTTTTCCCTTGCCTGAGGAGACATATTCAAAAAAACAAATAAGAGCGATGTCAAAATGTTTACTGCCTATGTTTTCTTCTAGGAAGTTTTATGGTTTTGGGTCTGACATAAATATATAGTCATAAATATATATATATGTATATATATATATATATAGCAATTATTTATATATAATGATATAATAGGTAGGACAATTAAGTTTTTGAACTCATCCTAGAAAAAGTGCTACATACCTCATTGCTGAATATCACTAGGTCACCTTTGAAGTACTCCCTTTGGGAAGCTATGCACCGATGCCAGCACCTAGTCCACCCTTCAAAGCCATTTTGGAACTTTTTTCTGGAATGGCCATCAGAGCTGGCATCATATTACCTTTGATGTCCTGAATGTCATCAAAATGTTTTCCTTTCAATATTTCCTTTATCTTCAGGTAAAGAAAGAGGTCATTGGGGGCCAGATAAGGTGAGTAGGGAGGGTGTTCCAATACAGTTATTTTTTGACTGGCTTAAAAACTCCCTCACAGACAGTGCCATGTAAGGTCGCGTTTTACTGTGATGCAAGAGCCATGAATTGGTGAAGAGTTCAGGTCATCTAACTTTTTCATGCAGCCTTTTCAGCACTTCCAAATAGTAAATTTGGTTAACTGTTTATCCAGTTGGTACAAA